ACGCTGGTTATCTGGGCAATCAGCCCTCAAGAAAAGAGGCACCAAACTAAACCCCAGCCCCCAGTGTGCCTGCCAGGCTGACCCAGGAGCAGCTGCCCTGCCAGGCAGAGCACCTTCCTACAGAGGCTGCCCATAGCAGCCTTGCAGCACAACCCAACTCACCCACTGACCTTCTTCTCTTGGAAGAGCCTGAGCATTCTCTTCTCCAGACAGCAGAGGACAATCTCCATGTCCATCATACTCTTCCTGGCCAAGACTTCACCAAGTCAAGTGACAGATACATGTCTTAAGATAACTTCCTCCTCTTTCCCAAGAATGACTTTCAGCAATAGGCATTCCCTGACACACCAGAGCAGAACATGCCCATCCATGCACCCACACCTCCCTTGGCAGAGGGGCTGCCCCAACCATCACCTTCCCTGGCTGCTCCAGCTTGCCCAGCCCTGCCTGTGAGGCCATGCTAAGGATGGGGACTTGCCTCCAGAGAAGAGGGATGGGAACACACAGTCTTCATCCTCCCTGCTGCCTACCTGACTCCAGCCCTGAAAGACAACCTGCATCTCCGACAGCTCTGCACTGCTCCAGGGAAGGGATAAGCACTCACACCCCATTTGTCACACTTGGAAGCAAATCAGACAGACAGAACTCTGCTCCACTTGTTCTCCCATTGTCTTAAACAAGAGATGTGAGGCCGCAGCATGTCTCCTGGCCACAGAAAGCAGCAAACAAGAGGTTTCTGGATGAGCACAAGTGGTGTACAAGTGGGGGAGCAGCAGAGAGAGGCACACACTGCAGAGACAGGAGACACAAAACAATCTCGTGATCCGTTATTGACTCCAGAGGACTTGGAGCTCTAGCAGCAAGCCAGCCAGGAGAGCAGAAATCCCTCTTTTGTTCCCCAGCCTCAGACAGACTTGGCCACACAGCTCCCTGCTGTCTCGCTCCAGACAATGAGAAAAGAAAGTTAATCCACTTCCCCTGCAGCAGGAGCCATCCAGCCTGCCGGGGAGATGCTGCAGAATACACGAGCATTCCTGAGCATCAGCACCAGCCTCATCCCGGCACCCGCCGCTGCCAGGGAATGCCAGACGGCTGGAGGACCTCACCAGGCACTGCCAGAGTTCCCAGGGATAGGGACAGCTTTGGATCTGCTCCTGCCTGCTGAGCCCTTTGGGCTCTGATCAGCTCTGCACTGCAGGCACCGCTCCCTTGCCACGCAGCACCCAGAGAAGAGACCAGCTGTGGGGTCCATCCTGCCCCAGTGATGTCCAGATGAGCACAGCAGTGTCAAACCCACCTTTACAGAAGGTAAACTTCTGACCCGGGACAGAGCAAGCTTCAGCCTGCTGACAGAGACCGAACCCATCCTTTCACCATCGCTTTCCCAAGCAGCCCAAGCCACGGCCCTTCTGCTGGAACAATGTTTTCCTCTGTATCAAGCCAAGTGGTAGAGAGGATCGTGGCCAACAAAGTCCTTCGGTGTCACCTCTTCCCCTCAGGAAGGGCACAGGTTACTCGCACACCAGACCCACCGTGCATGTGAACCAACCCCAAACTTCTCCCTGCTGCCCTTCGAGGGAAACAGAGGTGATCTTTTACTTTGGGCTCATGCCTCAGGACTCGAGTCACCTGCTTTTCAACCCCCTTGTCACCACCAGCTTTCTCGGCTCTCCACGTGAGAAGTGAGGATGTTTACTACACTGAAGATGAGAGAAGGAAATGAGGATTCACCAGCACTCTGCTCTGCAGAGGCAATGAGGTACCCAGGTACTTCTAGAGCACAAACAGACATCAGTACTTGTATCGGGAGCTTTGTAGGTCATGGGAGTGATTTTTAAAGTCAAGTCATCGTGGCATAAACTTGAACTGCTAAATACCAGAGAAGAGCAAAGTGCTGAAACCTGCTCCGGAAGGCACTTGCCGTTTCTTTTACCAGTGACACAGGAGAGGGCTGGTGCTTTACCATTACACTTTCGGACATGAGAGCCTGGCAGCGGGGCCGGAATAATCTGCATTGGCCCTGGCAGCCACAGAGCTGGGAGGAAAGTGCTCCAGCACCCCCAAGCAGCTCAAGCCTTTGTTCCAGCACACTCCCGCCAGCGGCCAGGGCTGCCGGCCCTGCTCTGAACACACTTATCTCCCTCCTCCCTCCCTTCCTCCCCCCAAATTACCTCCATCTCCAGCTGTCCCAGAGCCAGCTTCCTGTTCGGATTAATTATTCTTTGTGCACCCGTGTTTGATGATTTACCCAGCGAGCCAGGCACGACATGAGGAGTTCTGCCTTCCCATTAGCGCCTTCCCCCGAGGCTCACAAGTTCTCCGGGAAGGACCTGCACCCTGGCACAGCCAAGCGTGCCTCCCCATAAGGTCTGCTGGGTCACCACAGGCCACTTGTGACGTTGCTCCAAGGTCAGCTGCAGAAGGTGTGCTGCTGAGCAGCCTTTCCTGCTAGTCAGCAGGGCTGGCACGGAAGCCAGCGTAGGTGGGAGCGCTTGTGATCCCGAAAGGTGCGTCTCCAGTGAGGTTTTCCTATGACCCAAGATTTCCAGCGTGTTTAGCAAGGCAGAACAGAGCTTTGTTTGTACTGTCTGCCTTTCAGAAGGTGCAATTTTCAACAGCCATCAAAGGAGTTACCGTGTGAAGCACTCATCTACAGGCTTGTTTGCATCTGTGATCTCAAAAAGCCACAACGCTGAGAGAAGCCACCACACGGACTGGTCCAGCTCAGGCAATGGGAAGCACCAAGCCTCAGTGCTGGGGGCCAGACCTGCAATGGGGGAGGATTTGGTGTCTCCTCCTGGGAGCTGTTTCTTAGTCTGAGGAGTGATAGCTGATCACAGAAGGTGTAGGTGTACATACTAGATAAGACAAGTGGATGCCACCCACCTCTCCCCACGCTCCACCAGAAAGCCACAGCACGTCAGGGTTGTCCGATTCCTTTGCTGCTGAGCCCATGGAGCTCTCAACAGGGCTGAGCAGCCCCTTTAAGACCTCTTGCCAGCAGGTAGCTGCCTGCTGTCACACCAAGAAGGATGTTTCAGCAGCTACATGAGACTCCTCCTCCTCTGAGGGTGAGGCATTTCCTTCAGCCAGAAGGAAGAGGGTGCCCATCTGGGGGATCCCCATCCCCAGTGTGGCGGGACTAAACACCAGAGACTGTAAGATACAGAGCAGCAGGGAGGAGAGGTAGCAAAGAGCTCTGCAGATGCTGGTGTCCCAGCCCAATGTGACTTATTTGGGTAGATTCACGTATCGGTTACAGGAAGTTTCCACCCCAGCTGGTGAACCAATGTACAGGGATCTCAGCCCAAAACAGCTGCTCAGGTCACCTCTGCACAGAAGCAAAAGGAACAGCCACACAGAGCCCACCTCGGATTCCAGCTGGATGCTTCTGCCAGCATTCCTAGAGCCCTGCTCAGCTGCTCCTGCCTCTTACCAAGATCAAACACCAACAGCAAACCCCCTCCTGGCGTCAGGACCAATCCTTACACTGGGCCCCAACGTTTCACAGGGTCAAAGCAATGAGGAAGCAGAATGAAGGTCCAGAACAAAGAGATACATTCCTCCTACCCCACCACAACCAGCACACCAGGAAGCGAAGGAGATCTGGTGTGAAGGGGAACGTACAGTTCCTCTCCAACATGGGAGTTGTAGAGGCAACAGCAAGGTGGAACCGTGGCCAGCACAACTGAGCCCTCAGAAGCCAAACACTCGTCTTGCCCAAGAGGCGCCTTCAGGAACAGGCGTGGAAGTGAAGGGGATGGGCTGAGGATGGAAGTCAGCCACCCTTTGTTAATAACATCTTTGCTGGAAGAAGTACCTTTGGGAGTACCCTCCGAAACATGCAACTGTTTCGCTCCAACAGGAGTTGAAGAGGCTACAAGTCTGCACTTGTCCAGGATACTGTTTTCCTCGGGAAGATCCCAAAAAGCTCTTGCAGACAACTGGGGATGGTGCTCACAAAAGCAAGACACAGACAAGCATAGGCACCACCATCCAGGCTGACGTCTCTGCTCAAGAGAGACTTTGCATTTCACATTCTTTGGTCTTTCTTCCCCATAATAATTTCTTATAAAGGCAGAAGCAAGACAACCTCAGGGAAAACAGCAAATCAGCCCGCATTTCCACAGCACGGAGCACAACAACTAACTTGTAATGCAAATGACTTCTGCAGGCTGGGGCAGCAAAGTTCCTGGTTTGGAAGGTCTGAACCAGCTCCCATCACCCCCAGCCCATCCCTGTCCCTCTGCCCCGAGGGACCGCAGCAGCCACCATGGGGGGCTCACTTGGGAGCAACCCCGATACCTCCTGCACCATGAGCACAGTGGGGGCTGCTGCTGCCTGCCCCACCGCGGGCACCCCCTCCCCACACGCACAGGACCACAGGCACAGCCTGGACGCCTCCAAACCGGTGCTTCCACAACTCAAACCGCTCCAGTTCATTCCAGATGGAACGGAGCGGATGCTGGCCGTGGACTGTGGCTGCAAACGGGCGGGCACCCTTCCTGCTGGGGCATGGCACAGGGCACCCTCCCCGCTGGGGTATCACCCCTGCCATACAGATCACACACTCCAGAGCCGGGGCCCGCTGTTGAGGGACCGCTGGCACCGCGATGCCGCAGCCCAGGGAGGCCGCAGGGCGCCGGGGGAGGCTGGACACGGAGCCCGGCTCCTCCGGCCGCCTCCCGGTGCCACTAACCGGGGCACTGCCGGCTGCTGTGAAACAAGCTCTCCCCCGGAGGGTTTGCTGGGGCTTTAGGGGGTGGGGGGCTGCTGGGTTATGGGATGGGAGCAGAAAGTACGAGGAAGCGGAGGAGGAAATCATTCAGCAGGTTGCTGCTGCCGCTCCCCTGCCCGCAGCGCCCGCTCCCCACCGCCGGAGAACCGGCTCCTCCGCGCACCCCCCGCCCCGCCACCAGCCCCACGGCTGAGGGCAGCCCCCGGGACCGGCCCCCCGGGTACACCCCATGCGGGGAGCGGCGGGCAGGCCGCGGGCTCACCTCGGTACTGCAGCGAGCCCGAGAGCCGCACGGTGACGGTGCCCGCCAGCGGCTCGCCGGGGCCGTACACGACGCGGCTGTCGCCCAGGCGGATCTCGAAGAGCTGAACCTTCCCCATGGCCTCGCCGGCCCCCGCGGACCGGCCCTGCCCGGCCCTGCGCGCTCCGCCGGCAGCGGTACCTGCGCCCTTCGCCGCGCCGGCCCCCGATGTCCCTGCCCCGCCGGGCCGGCCCCTTCCCGCCCCGCACCGCCCCTTCCCGCCCCGGCCCCACAGCGCGGCCGAGCCGGGGCGGGCCCGGAGAGACGGGGCGGTTTGTGAGGGCCGGGCTGTGAGGGAAGGAGGCGGTTGTGGGTCTGGTGTGTGAGGGAAGGAGGCGGTTGTGGGGCCGGGCTGTGAGGGAAGGAGGCGGTTGTGGGTCTGGTGTGTGAGGGAAGGAGGCGGTTGTGGGGCCGAGCTGTGAGGGAAGGAGGCGGTTGTGGGTCTGGAGTGTGAGGGAAGGCGGCGGTCGTGGGGCCGGTCGTGGGTCTGGGGTGTGAGGGAAGGCGCTGGCTGCCCCAGCATGGGGCCATCTTTCCTCCTGGTGATCCCTGCTCTTTCTAATCCGATCTCCCCCTGTAATTCCCTGGCCCAGCTGTCAGCTCTCTCCCTCCTATTTTTATAACCCCAATCGCTTTAAGTGCCCGGTGAGAGGCAAATACAGGCGACCAGTGCTGGGGCTGAGGGCTGAGCTCCACGCTCCCCATGGATCAGTGGGGTGAAGGTGTCTGACCCAGCGGGGGGTGAGCAGCGGGCTCCCTCCGTCGCGCTCACCATGGCCCCCCCGCTCTACATCATGGAATAAACCCCACCTGCAAAACCCGCACCAAAGGCAGCGCCGGGGGAAGGCACCGCTGTGTGCACAGGCAGAACGAGTAAGTGTGCAAGGAAGGGCTGTTTGTCTGCAGAGCACACCCAGCTCGGGGCCGGCCCGGCAGGCAGACCGGCATCCATCCTCCCATGGACCTGCAGTGACACCAGCTCGGGCATGCGGGGGGCAGGACCCTCCGTGCTGCCTTACGGTGGGTGCTGAGATAGCAAACCCATCACAGAGCACCAGAGGAGTTGGTGTGCCTAGAGCACAGGGCTCCTGCCGGGCACTCCCTCCTCTGGTGCTGCAAGCTACCTCTTGTTTGCAGCCTGTGTGTAGTTACAGGCAGCATACACCTCGTTCCATGGCCTCCAGTAGCTCATCTCCTTGTACCCCATGCACCTCTCACCTTGTGCTGCCCTTTGCTTTTGTTTTGCCAGGCTACATGCACTGATTTCCTCCAGTCTCTTGTAACACCAGCCCACAGCAGCTTCCTTCAGTCCCTGTTTAGCTCTGACCCAACAAACTGGAGAGGGGCTCTTCATCAGGGACTGTAGAGATAGGACAAGGGGTGATGGCTTCAAACTGAAACAGGGGAAGCTGAGGTTGGATGTAAGGCAGAAGCTCTTCCGTGTGAGGGTGCTGAGGCGCTGGCACAGGGTGCCCAGAGAAGCTGTGGCTGCCCCATCCCTGGCAGTGCTCAAGGCCAGGTTGGACACGGGCTTGGAGCAAGCTGTTCTAGTGGAAGGGGTCCCTGCCCGTGGCAAGGGTTGGAGCTGGAGGAGCTTTGAGGTCCCTTCCAACCCAAACCAGGCTGGGATTCTATGATTTTATTAAGCACCTTTTCCCCATGGAAAGTGGCCAAAGACTCGGGGCTTCGTGCACTGCTGGGGCTACCCCAGAGGGACACCGCACATGCAACAGCTCAGGGTGAATAAAACCCTTCGCCAGGCTCCTCTCTCCGGATACAAAGGGGTTTGTGCACCTTGTTTACAGAAAAGTTAACTTTAAGCACAGCAAAAGTTGCTCACCCAAGGTCACAACGTCAGTGAAAAGGATTCCTCTGCCAGGAGCTGAACAAAGGCACCAGGCTCCAGCCATGCACGCTGTGGCACAGCTGCAGCACTGCAGGGCAGGCACTGTGTGCTTCACACAGGCACGGGAGCCCTTCTTGTGGCATGACCAGCGATGCCACAGCGTTAGTCCATCACCCAGACCACGGCCATGGTGTGCATGGTAGCTTGTAAGGCATAACTAGGTGGGTATAGAATCATAGAATCCCAGCCTGGTTTGTGTTGGAAGGGACCTTAAAGCTCATCGAGCTCCAACCCCTGCCATGGGTGTTTGAGAAACCACAAACGATGCACTTTCCTGTGATTTTGGATCATTGTTTTGCTTTAAAGAAATTGCTTTGAAAGGTTTGATGTGGTGGTGGGGGGAATCTCACTTCTGCCTGCTCTCCCTTCCTCCTTTTTTGCCTTAGTAAAAGGGAAACTTCTAAAGAGAAAAGAAAATCAACTGTCAACCCTGGGTTTAGAGTAAAATTTTCCTATCATATATTATCACGTTCCCCTCACTTCAAGGAATATGACATTTCTTGACAAAGAACATAGTAGTTATTAAAAAACCACCACAACACGTATCAGTACCCCACGCACTGTCACCTGAGTGTGCCCTGCCTGCAGCAGAGATGAGCTTCAACCATGGGCCCTGGGAGAGCGACCATGGGTGCCCTCACACAGGGATCGGCTGTAGCTGCAAGTTGTGTACTCCCCTCACATGTGTGGTTATAGCAAGCCGTCAAAGTTAAGTCACAGGCACTGTCTTGTGACTTAAATCCCTTCCTCTTTTGGCCTCCGAGGTGTCCTGCAGCAGCGCATGGTGACAAGGTGGTGGCACAGCCCCACCTGACCGTGCCTCAGTTTCCCCGTGCAGGACACCGTGATCCCGCCTGGCAGTGCCTGTGCTGAGCCAGGACCCGGGTGTCCTGAGGGAGAGGCACTGCGGAAATGCCCGAGCATAGCCCAGCCGTGACTGGCAGAGGCTGGGCGATGGGAATGCTGCCAGGTGAGGCTCAGCACGTTACCCCCGGGGCAGGGAGGAGCTGGCACCATCATTTCCACCCACTCGGTGCTCTGGGGAACCCCTGTGGCTGCTGGGCAGAGGGACCAGCCTCACACCCAGCCCCCTGCGGTCTCCTCTGTCACAGGGGATGAGGAGCCCTTCTCAAGTTTTCTTGCTTTTGCTGTTCCAACCTCCCCCCATCCTGCTGATGGGAGGATGTGATGGGGGCTTTACTCCTGGCTGGGTGAGCTCCCTGCACCCCGTGAGGCTGTGGCAGAGGAAAAAGGGAAGCAGCACAACCACAGCAAGTGGCCATCAGGTTTCAGTCTGGACATGAGGGACACATTTTACAATGAGGGTGGTAAAACACTGGCTGCCCAGAGAGATGGTGGATGCTCCATCCCTGAAGACACTGAAGGCCAGGCTAGATGTGGTTCTGGGCAACCTGATCTAGTTAAAGATGTTGCTGCTCATTGCAGGGAGTTGGAATAAATGAGCTTTGAAGGTGCCTTCCAACCCAAACCATTCTATGATTCTGAAGCTTCCCTTGGACTCAAACACACACCTTCACTGACAAGCCCATGGAAGGTTCACTGCTAATATACTATATACACCATTAATAACTATTCTATATACCTGTATATGTATAGAAAATCCATAATATTGATATATTTATGTTACATTTGTTACCTTTCCAGATCACTTCCCTGCCTCGCTGGGTACCTCGCTGCTCCTCAGCTGATTCTGTGGCCATTCAACCACGTCATCTGATACGACAGCAGCAACCATTACTCATTTGTTCCAGGCTGACACCTTTCACCAGCTCACCTGGGTTTGGTGGTGTTCAGCCACACCTTCCTGCACAGCCGCCCTTCACCCTGCAGGAGGCCACAAACCAAGGTCCCCAGCAACCTCCTGTGGGTTCATGGGCTTGGCTGTGGGCAGGTGAGGCAGCTTCCCGAGGGCACGTGCTGGGATTGGAGCCAAGTGTCCCATCAGTGGTGGATGAAGCTTTGGGATCTCAAATCCCAGAGCATTGCAGCAGCTCCTTGAACTGTGTCTGCCTTATACCAGCTCTCCCACAGTCCCACTCCTTGATCCTGATGAGATCAAAATGAGCCACACAACAGAGCCAGGCTCTGTGAGGAGGCAGGGGCAGCTTCAGACTCCATCCCAGGAACACTTTATGACCCTGTATCCTGAGGCAGTGTCCCAGGCCTCATGTGCAGACTCATGGAATGGTTTGTGTTGGAAGAGTCCCAACCCCTGCCACGGGCAGGGACCCCTTCCACTGGAGCAGCTTGCTCCAAGCCCCTGTGTCCAACCTGGCCTTGAACACTGCCAGGGATGGGGCAGCCACAGCTTCTCTGGGCACCCTGTGCCAGCGCCTCAGCACCCTCACAGGGAAGAGCTTCTGCCTAAGAGCTCAGCTCAGTCTCCCCTCGGGCAGGTTCAAGCCATTCCCCTTGCCCTGTCCCTGCAGGCCCTTGCCCAAAGCCCCTCTCCAGCAAATCAAAATGCCAAAGGGGCTGTAACAGCGTAACAAATACCATCCCCTTACCCTCATACCATGTGCCTGATTGTAGAATAACCTCACTGAGCCATCTCCACCAGACTTCCCTTCCCTCAGGGACAAACCCTATGTGGCCCTGGGCAGTTTGCTTCTGCTGACAACCCTTTTGCTGCTAACACCCACACTTGCCTTTTAGTCCAGCTTCGGGAGGCTTCAGCCACTGGTTCTTGTTCTGGCTTTCTCTGACATTAAGGAGTCCTTGAGTGCCAAGTAATTTCCCCTCGAGGTGGTACTTACACACCAGGATCAAGGCACCTCTCCATTTCTGTGATAAGCTGAGCAAGCTGAGCTTGTCAGGCCTCTCTCTGCATGGTGCTTTCTCCAGCCTTTGTGTTCCTGCGCTGCTTTGTGCCTCTGCAAACCCACGTTCTGGCATTTGTGTGTGGATGGGAATCTGTGTGCAGGAGCAGCTTCCCCCCCACACACACGTGCACACACAGGAGCTGAGGCATTAGGGGTTTATTTATCCTCAAATGCACATGGGGTACGCACAAGCCCTTTAGATCACATCATGAGGGACCAGGTGAGCGCCCACAGGTAACACACAGGGTGTTCCTGACCTGTTCTCCCCCATACGTTAACCCTCACTCCTCGGGAAGGGCTGATTCAGGGCCATTCCTCCCAAGCCATCTCCTCCCTTTCAGTCTTCCTCCCAAGCCATGAAGGAAGATGAAGACAGGGAGAGCCCCTACCTGAGCCAGTGACCCAGCTGGCACCCATCCTCTTCTTGTGGGTGCTACTGCTT